ATGTGGCATTTTAAATTAGAGAGCGGTAAACCCGTCTAAGGTTCACGTATCTACTGCTATATCATTCTAAAACAGTAAAACATGAACAAGATGTCCGGCGTGATATAATGTTATAGTAGTCTGACAGATACCTGTTCTATGACACATGTTCACTGACATGCAGACACGCGAGCATGTACATAGCATGCGTGTACTCCAATTAGTACAAAGTCTGCTGAACATAGCTGTGTAGTGACTCGGAGATACACACGGGGCTGCAGCTTCCTTCCCCTTACAAGTTTTCTTACGATCTGTTTTCATGACTCCGTACAAGTAGTCACAATGTAACGACAAGTGACCTATACTTTGGACCTAGTACTTGTTATTTTCCCACGACTCCTCCCATACTCGAAGACACAGAAACCCGTGGACGATGATGAGGTCTTGCTCATTACCAACATAGTTGTGGTTTGGGGCTCTGTGGATTTCCATACTTCTTGTGTGCGCTATCTTGTTCCAGTCCACTGTGACTCACCAGGTTAGATTAGATGAATAGTATTTTTCAAGATCATAATTAACTCATACATAGAAAAGGCCGTGAAATGTACCCAGGAGATGGACTGGTATCGGTACAGTGTTGATAAAACACGATATCGGTGACGAGGTTGACGAAATGACATAACCTCGATCCAGGAGGTTTGATTATATATATATACCCACTGGTATCACAAGAACGAGGTTGATCGCATTGAAACCAGGTTTGGTTCCCTCGGGAGGAAATCGGGACGAGGTTGACTGTTATCATGTGTGATGTTACCACGTGGGGGTAATGTCACATAAGTCACGATCCAGGTGGGGTAGTGTTCGAGAAGCAAATGGGGCGGAACAGGTATTTCATTATTACAACTCAAACATCAAAAGCGCTGCAATAAGACTTTTAGGTAAATAATGAAACACCCCCAGACCGCAACACATGTGGCTGAGCGTCAGCAATTATACAATTAAGTCTTATTGGAAAACACAACTGTGTTTGTTTCCATATTAGTAAACGCATGGAAAGTAACAGGTGCACTACCACATCGTCGTGATTAACGGATCTGATGATATATGCATGTACACGTAACTGTTACATTCGGTATAATCAGGTGTATCTCATGTCTTCATAGAGGTATTTCCCTCGTCTGAACTACAATAAAAACTCTCTGCTAAAAACATAATAGAACAAAGAGTAAGAAAACGGTGACAGATTGGGTACGCCAGCTATGCTGAATATGCTAGTATACAACTCCGTCACTAGACATATCTCACATTTCTTCCTGAAATCCTAAAGTTTGTTTAAAAGTAACTAGAATCATAATTTCTGATATCATTTTTTATGTTTATTTATCTCGTAATTGATAATTTTGAAGATACAAACTTCAGACAAGACAACTGAAAAGTGTGTTTGATATGACATGAAATAGAACACTGGTGTTGTATTGCATCCCGTGCAGACAACATTCTTATATACATTCTACAGTGTGGTAAATCGCTAGAGAATGTCATGAGAACAAGACAAAATATTTGCTGAACAAACCACCTTGTTGTACCAGGATTGTATCGTCTGATGTCATCGTCTGTTGTTCCCATCATCGGCGGGAGTAAAACTCCCTGTGGTCACTGAACCGTACCCGGCGGCAGATACTCGGAGTGCTGTAAAGTTCTTTGCCATCATATATCGTTTCCTATTTTTTATCAGCAGAACAGCAGGGCAAGATAACGGCGAACGAGCACAGAACTCACTCTCATCATCAATCGTGATCATCATCAGCATGGCCGTGCGTGCACCGGAAGTAATTCATCTTGTAACAGAGGTCACTAACGTGCCTTTAGAGAATCCCGATACATTACGAGTGACATTCCATCCACCTATTGTTATGTAACACAATGAAACATCAAAAGACAAAGTGAACTTACGGACGAGGTTTACCAACAACTTCGCAAGGCCGCCATTGTGTCGACGTTGAAGAGCATGTGTCTATGCTAACTAACCGTGATATACAAAACTGACGACAACCGGAATATCAATGAAACTTTATTATTATCTTCTTCAAAGGAAATTAATATCATTTTTGTCAGTGAACTGATGATATTTACATAACCTATGCTTTAAGCATTTTCACTCATAAAATCGAACAATTCTGCAATTACAAACCCTACACTATATACATACAGCTTTATGATGGGTTTAATGAGACACGTGTTACTTGTATTGATGATGATAAGTCCAACAAGAATGATAAGGTTTTATCAGGAACGTCGCATCAATTTCATCTTCTTGTGCAATGTACGTGCACAAGACCCTGATGTTACACACGTCGAAAAAAGTAATCTGGCGACCTTGCCGACCTTTCAAGCGGTTTTTTTTAACCACAAGGTATTCATATTTCACCATTAATCATCGGGACCTAATTATCTAAACATAAATAACATCAGCGTCTGTTTTATTCACTATATTTATCGGCACGTTACGCTCCATTCCGTCAATGATCCCACGTGGTTTGAAAGCCTAGTCCTCTTGTAGTATTACGGAACAAATGTCGGATGAATTCTGAAATCATATTTGAAAAATAAATGTCATAATGTGGTTTGGTTTTTATGAAATGTTTAATGTTTAACGTAATTGATTTTGAAAGTTGGACTCTATAGAACGTTATTTTTATTAACGGGAACGTTTCATGTAAGGTGACTGTACTGCTAACAGGTGGTCCATGGTAGCAGATTACGTGTTACAGTGACTGGGTAGATAACGACAACGAGGCCGACAACTAGGCGAGATTTATTGTCGTCATGACATGATATTTCATTCACATATGTATCGGGGTCAAAGGTCGAATAAACAGATTTATTTTGTTGATTTATTTCCGTGTGCCGTTCTGAACCGACCTGAAACATTTGTTTCTATTCATATGAATTTTGGAAAAATTGATATCTGATATTTTTTTCATCAAAATAAACGTAGTCTTTATACTTATAAATGGGTATATAGATTGTAACATGCTAACCATAGCAATTACTACAGAAATAGAACCAGGGATGAAAGATGGAATAATCACCCACATGGTAAAACGAGATAAGTCCCAGCGCCTAGATAGGCTGGCGGGAAAGGTTACGAATCGTTTACAGCGACTCCTTCAACTTCGACACGTTTCAGATCTATATCAAACATAATATTTCCAGTATAATATATACAAAAGTCTGATTTTTTATACCTGTTATGAACTTGACCAAACTAACTCAATAAAAACCATGGCCGTATTGTGCTGTCAGTCTTTGAAATACATCGTATGTTAACAGTTTTTCTATCCGATCAACTTGGTCGTTGATATCTTTTGATTTTTGTCTATTTACCTTCACGAGCTCGTGAACTTGTCATCGTATCGTTTCTAAACCGTTCTCTAATGCTGAATAATGAGAGACAAAGGGAGATAACTTCCTATTTAATGCAATATGATGGTATATTTCAGATACATTATTGATTATTTCGCTTTATTAACGAAACTGTAAAAATAATGACATCGAATGAATTAATTATCCGTGGGTGCATGTTCCTAAAGACACCAGTACATTACAGTAAAATCTGGCCAGGCACCCTAAACAACATCTGTTCCGTCTATTACCATCTCCCCTAGTCTCTGGCCAAGTTCCAGTCGCCTTCTTCACAACTCAATTACTATGGAGTTGCTTGGTTCTCGGCTTGCCAGATCCACAAGTTGTTTATTTCTTCTTGTCTGTGATCATCTAACATTAGCATGTGTCAACGTGATGGAATAGCCGCTCTGGGTTATTGTGGTGCTTGTTGTCGGAGTAAAGCTAGTCTGGGTTGTTTGAGTTCTTGTTCCCGGTATGTTTTCGTGGTATAAACTAACTTGATTGTTTAGACACTCTGTCAATGTATAGAAATCAACGGATATTGCACCGGCGTCTAAAGAAAGTATGTCAATGTGCAATGTGCTACGATGCACGTAGTCGCCAAGAAAACCAGACAAGCATGGCAGTTCACATCCTTTTGTTCTTTACTTAACGAAAGAGCAATATTAGTATCATTGTACAAACGTATGGTTGTATGTAACGTACGACATGATGCGTTTTCATTCGGCGTAGTTAGAAACAGTTAATAGTTCCATGGCTTAAAACGGTAAATTTCCAGTCTTATCAGCAATGTCAGAGAAATGAATGGATCAAGTAGCATCACTATTCATATACAACGATGCTTAATACAATTTTTGTGGGACTTCTCGAAGAAAAAAAAACGAAAAAAGGAGAAAAAGAAGGAAAAGCCCACTGCGTCAGTGCAACAAACGCCAAGCAATATAAGAAGGTGTTAAGTTTATGATTTGCGGTAACATTAACGTCGTCGTGCATCTTTATCCAAATATAAACACTCGTAAAACGGCGGGGTATCCACAGCTCTGATAAAGATGGAGTACACTTATAAAAATGGAACTATTCCTCCCACACTTCACAGAAAAAAAGTTCTAACACGTTTTACTAGTCTGCAGTAACAATTGGTTAATGTATGCCAATTAAAATCCGAATATCTTAAGTATTACGGGTCACCGTTAACTTCTGTTCTCAGAGGACAATATCGATATCACAGGCTCAAACAGATACACTTGTCAAATGACGTGGCCTGACATCTTAAGGAAACGGTATTTACACTTTCTCTCCAATATTGTCACGATAATATAATAAATACTATTGTCATAAGATATAATGCATTTTATATTTAGGTGCATTTTAATGTAATCGTTTCCATGGTTACATCGCTGTGTGTTTAAAACAGGAATCGTCAAAACCATTGTTTCCAGTTGACAGAACCAACAAAAGTATGCGTTGAGTCTGTGACGCGGTTTAGGTAATTTACAACATCGAAACCACGTGTTGACAACTAGTGTGGTAGTTTAAAGTTGTAAACAACGTTTGTGTTGTCATGACGTCTACAGGAGGTTACTATAGTAACCATTTTTAATTTGTTACAGATTGTCATGACGTTTACCAAAGTGGTAGCCTTCGTTACGAGGGAGACTACAATATAATGATCCAACCAGAAAGAGCCCCTGCCCCATTCATGGCGCCTTGTAAGGCCAGAGAAGGTGGCGGTAAGTGTCTTGCATAAGAACAGTTTACTTTAAATCCTTTATCGATAAAGAGTTGTATTTCATTATCAGATTCGAGGGGTTCCTCCCCTGTTGTGTAATATGCTTTCATTTCTAGCTCGTCAGATGACAACCCGTACAGGATGGACTCCAAACGTATCTATTCTCGATATACAGAGCTTTGTACTGGTTTTCGCCAAGTTGACATTAATTTCTCCTTTGACCTTTCCAATGCTCTATCCTTACAGGCTGGACAGTGTTACAGCGCCGCCTGGACGGATCTGTAGACTTCTACCGGAACTGGACAGAGTACAAAAACGGGTTCGGGAGTTTATCTGGCGAGTTTTGGATTGGAAATGACAATATTTATCGTCTATGTAGCCAAGGTGAGTGTTCAGAAAAATATTTTAATAGAAATAGCTTATATATAATATACTATACATACATACATACATACATATATATATATATATACATCACTCCCGTTTAAATAGGTTGAGATACAAACACAAACCCAACTCATTGATCCATCGGTAATTTAAAAACAAAAGCTTTCAAGTACTCAGAGCTCCATTATGATATGTTCAATCATCACAGTCACAAGAGTGTAACCAAATACGTTAAAACCTTTAATTTGACAGATAACCGAAGGTAAAATTACCAAACAGTCAATTTTCTTGAGCAATACTGTTTGTTTACCTGTGCAACACTATGCATATAATGTCGATTATCAGGAAAGTACAACCGACTTCCGGTACACAGATCTAAAATAATCCCGGCCTCCACGAAACCCTGACCCGGAAAAGAAGAAACAGCAACATTTTCTATCCTAAATGTAGATAACAAGTAGGCGCGACTAGTCGATACCTCTCTGTTGATTCATCTGTGGAAACATTGGTAACTCTCCATCAGATGGAACATTTAAGCTAAACGATCTTAATACCTATATTCTGTAAAACGTGAACAAGTCTGACTCTACATTACTAACAACATTCTTAATAACACTTAAATACAACATCTAATACAAATATAACTCCATAGAACATATTACATAATTCTTAAACAAATCTCGTTAATTTATAATTCCCGAAATGATGAATTTGGAGCGTTTGCTTATTTATGGATACAAACTAATAGACCTATGTCTATAACGTGGTGAGATCGCTGTATCTTCTGTAACAATTGGCAAGATAAACACCCTCTTTACATTTCTTACTTATAAATACTTATCTACAAAGATTATGTAAGTTTATGTTTTCTTTGGAGTATGTAACACCTCTAGCTCTTGATAGTTTTTAGAAAACCTGCTGTCTAATATCCTTAAAGGCCAAGTGCTTTCTTGATTAAGAAATCGTTGGTTTGTGATTTCGGCGCAGGTTATCTCCCCTGGGTTTATCTGTAAGTGTTATCGTGTTCTCGTGTAGCTTGTATGTCCCTTTTCCCATACTTTACATTAAACTTGTAAACACGACCGTCTTCTGAAATAAGAATTAAAAAGAAACATAAGGAATAATCTTATACATCTTATCAGTTTTAGGGATATTATGAGTCTTGTTTTTTAGGTTACAGTAAATTCAAGATCGAATGAATATGAAATATCTGCAATGGGTTTGCGTATTTAAAATTGCTTCTTCTTTTAGAAATAATTCTGAATAAGTTGAAATATACATGATATTTCAATTCTAATTACTTACTTTGATCCATATAATGCCCCTGAAAATGACGAGGTTTATCCTGCATTCCGCGTTCTCTCTTGTCTAGGAAAGGGGTAGAGGGTTCCGCATGCTGAATATTCGATTTCCTGTTCGCCACAGGCGTTTGTCTTTTGGCTGAATATGCAGTCAAAGATGGCGCTGATCCAAATTGGCGAAAGTCAGTTGCTATGGTCTGTCTGTATTTGCCCTGTGGATTTTTTTCCGTTGGATTGGGTGCACTGTAAGGCATCCTTGCTCGAATTGGTGAATGCACGGCAAAAGGAGGGGCAGTGCGCGTAACATTGTTTTCCCAGTCGTCATCGTCCTCCCCAATAACCCCAAGTCCCGAGTACTGATCAAAGTCACGGTGTGCCCTCTGACGACCGTTGCCACTGCTTGCTGTCCAAGGGTAGGTAAACACATAGTGTTGGGCAGGCTGGATATGTCTGTGTTCCACGTGTGGACATTTTATATGGTCATATAACATAGAGGGGATCGTCTTCTGACTGGTGCGCGGGAAACACCTACAAATGTTGGGGTCAAGGTCATCGTCGTACACACTGTTACCGTCATCATCTAGTTTAAGGATGTTCAGCTCTACCCGGTTCCGGTTTGTATCCCGAAAGGAATCCGGAACACCTCGGTAGCGACTAGTATACATAACTGTAACATCTGTCTCACATTATGTACCTGTAACAAACAAAACATCGTATTTACTTAAATTATTTTCCTTTAAAGGTCTAACGTAACCTGTTTGTTTCATCGTACTCGTCAATGAGCGCCATTATTCACAATGTGACTAGACACGGAATGGTGACGCACGAGCGTGTCACACTATCGGGTACATTACTTAAATACCGTTCACACTGCATTTTAAATTGGTTCCTGTGTTGGAGCATTGTTGGGCACAAACAAGTTTCATTACACGATTCTAGTACTTTTTGACTTGTGTACCCGGTCTCTCAGTGATTAATGAGTCAACACCACGGCTCTAGCTGTATAGCTGTAGGAGTGACATTGTTGACTTGGCCAATTCATGTTACGAAAGTTAAATAAAACACTTGACAGTTAGCGATACAGAATGGAGTTAAAATCTCTCTACATTTCACGTAAATATTGCTCCTTGTATTTGCTTGGATGGCGGTTTTATTCTCACCCTCTCTCGACACCCCTGAACTCCCTTAAAAAAAGTTTGTAGGTCGACTGAACAGTTTAACTTTTGCATATAAAATGTTTGTTTACATGTGTTTCAGGTAAATTTAAACTCCGAGTGGAAATTGAACAGTGGAACGGAAGCAGGTACTATGCTATCTATGACTACTTCCGGATTGAAGACGAGTCGGATGACTACAGGCTGCACGTGAGCGGTTACCATGGTACTGCTGGCGACTCGATGACGTCACACCGAGAGAACCACAATGGTGTTCGGTTTAGTACGTACGACACTGACAATGACCTTCGTCCGTTTGACAACTGTGCCATGCATTACCGGGGAGGCTGGTGGTACAACGACTGTTTTGATTCTAACCTCAATGGACGATACTATCAGAAAGGCTTTCATAACAACTACTTTAGACAAAATGGCATACACTGGAACAGCCTACACAAATATTCCTCGCTCAAGACCGCCCAGATGATGGTCATGCCCGCGTCAGACTTTATTGCACACAATAAGGTATCACCAGGTGCATGAATCACGTGACGTCAGCTCCTCCAGCTAGTCATTAGCAGCGCAGTCATCTCGTGATGCATTTGCACGTTTACCTCTGACGTGGAGATTGCGGGAAAATTGCAACAGACTCAATAAACATGTAGATATTACATATAACTGGTTGTGAGAAAGAGACTGTTGCGCTGATCCAAATAATGAGCATGCGCAGATCTTAAGAAACTGTAGAATACTCAAATAAGTGATTGTTTGCGCGATATGTGATACTTGGAAGTCTAGCTTCCTGTTAGTCTTGCGTTTCTTTCCTGGATATGCATTCTTCCGGTTTACAAAAACAGGCCTGTACTGACTTCCTTATTCAAGTGGCTGGTTAAATTTTCACAAAATGACAATGTTTGTGACTTCCGGCCTCGTATTTTATCTTCCATTAACATATATAACCAATAACGTCCATTTGTGGAACAGGAATATCATCAAGGTGCTAACTACATACCAATGGGCTATTTATTGTGTCCGTGGTGTATTACTACGCAGACCCAATTACACACACTTCCTGTGTCGGTGTGGTGCCAGTGTCATAAAGTGGGAGGAACATGGTGCTGTACAAAAACTTAACACATCTTTTCACGCAGACGTGTGTATTAATGGTTCCGTGCGGAGTCACAGTGACCTACTTAAATGTGTGATAACACGTGACAGCAATTATAATGCTTTGGTGTGGTGACATGTGTCGTTTAAACTCTAACCATGGACGATTGGGAAATGACGTGATGTGACCGTTTCTGTGGTATAGATATGTATGTAGCTATGAAAAATGAAATGGCATTGATTTCAAGTTATTAAGTAATCGCCGTCACTCAGACGTTTTATTTAATGATCACGTGGTCTCGTCTGTCTCTTCCGTATCGATTCATTGTATATTTTGAATATTGGATGTAAATATGTGACTGTTGATAACGAAGATGTACCCTGAACTACAGTATATGTAAGGGTGAATATATATAAGTAATGATAAAGATATTATTTATTGTTGGTATAATGTAAATTCATATGTTAATGTTTTCACTGCCTAACAGAACTTGTCACCAGCCCTAACTCTGTCCAAGTTCCTGTATTGAACCTCTAAACGTGTTTATGAAAAAAAGTGGACCAAAAGTTCATTATCTGTAAATTTTAATAAGACATAAGATATCACCTCTGTCTTACAATTAGTCTATCCTGTATTCGCGTGATGTGAACATTAATTGAATGAATGTAAGAGTACACGGCCCTGTGGATTTATCAGTATAACTTTAACCATAGAGTCCCCTCAGCTGCTGGTTCCTCAGGTACCGGACGTTCGAGATCATGTTTTATTGTCTGTACAAAGTTTACTATGATTTCTCTTATACGTCAAAGGTATGTACCAGTGGTAGATTAATATCGCTCTGAACTTTGGTCGGCAGTGCGGATTCTGTCTTTATCTTTACTGCTCCTGTTTAAGTCGGTAAACATGAGCCCAGCTTTCATGTTCTAAAGGAGGTACTATTTTCGGTGGATTTTTAGAATTAAGACGCTGAACTATTGTCAGTATTACAAAGGCTTATCTAGGTCAAAATGTATATAATTTCTCCATTTTGTTGTGCTCATTTTCTTATTAAGGCGATCATATATCAGTGAACAATATCTCAATGACGGAGGGAAGACAGGTTTCATGTCTGACAAGTACCAGATAGATACACATTTGTGTATATATGTGTGTGTAACATGCAAGCCTTCTCGTTCTGTTTCACTATTTCCATTCATTTTTCGTGTAATATCATTTATCGTTAATTTATTTCTAAGCATTCTGATGATCACTGGTGTAACCTTTTGCACATGAAAAGCACAGTTTCTTATTCGAAAGCAAGAATAATAGAGTCGAAATGCGTTGATCCATATAATATTCTTAATACGGGAAAAAACTATCAATCCTATATTCTTCAACTGTATTAAAATCTATAGACAATTAACCAAGATACTTTGAAGACAGTAATTATCCGGAATAACGATTCTCATCCGGTGTTACTACCTTCCTTGTTACGTTTGTGACTAATTTTTAATTGTCTAGACCAAACTAGCTATCTACAACGCTAACGTTCGAATCAATGAAATCAAATGGTTCTGTATCCGGATTTAGTATGATGTAAACATGGTACCGTATCCGGATTTAGTATGATGTAAACATGGTACCGTATCCTGATTTAGTATGATGTAAACATGGTACCGTATTCGGATTTAGTATGATGTAAATACGGTACCGTATCCGGATTTAGTATGATGTAAATATGGTACCGTATCCGGATTTAGTATGATGTAAACATGGTACCGTATCCGGATTTAGTATGATGTAAATATGGTACCGTATCCGGATTTAGTATGATGTAAATATGGTACCGTATCCGGATTAACGTATTTTGACTAGATCCACAGATTGACATTGTTTACATGTACAAAGATAAATGTGTTTTGTACATTTGTCTAGTGCTGTTACATCTAACACAAAATACAAATAAACTTGTGTTTAAGATAGTTAAAACAGAAATAAAAATGTGATGTACATTCATGTGTTTATCATGTATTTTACACGCCATGGTTATATTAACCGAAAGAAATGCCGCCACTCCAAATAAGACTCGTGTTATCAAGATTTATGAAATGGAACAACATCGAAACGAACAACAATTTTATTTAGATATTGAATATTTTGGGTCGATTTCATGAGGTGATGAATTGAGTTGTTCTTGAGACAAATGTAGTGAACTACAAAGCCTGAAAATGCTCTGTTAATATACAGGTATGCTATTTCAGTGAATTGTTCCCTCCCTTAATTAGTAGTAAGGTAATTCATTCACATCAGTACATCAGACTATGGCATTATTCAATCTCCAGACTTTCAAAATTAAGCTGTTGACAACACCTTATGATGAACTTGAAATTTCCCATCGTCCAAAATTCAATTTTCTAATGAACACAAAAAGCGCGACAAATCTTTTGAATTTGACGTTACTGTGCTACAGAATCACACAAAGAGCTGAAACATAATTAATTAAAATAATGGAAGTTGAACGAAAATCAGTAAAAATGTTGGTAACCTGTGTTCGGGATGTTTCACTTACAACAGTTGTCTGACAGTGATGACCTTTGACTTTGTGACAGTGCTCTGATAACTTGTAACAACCTGTATATGATGATAATGACGTAGCTAAGATCGTGTGACGGTGATGGCGTTTGGCCTTGTGACAGTAGGATAGTGGTTGTTTCAGTCACAACTAAATCACGTATGACGAGGTAACATTGTGATAAATATTAAATACAGAGTTTTTTCCCTCGACCGTCACCACCCTGGTACAAAATAGTCATAAAATATCGCACAGCGACAGAAAACTTCTCTTTAGCATGATCGGTTGATCGCCAGACTAGTAAGTCAGGGATCTCGGGTTCGATTCCTGTCGGAGGCATTATTATAAATAATGACTTCTGTTACAACTATTCATTGTATCAAGCCGTTAATAGAGAAAGATATGTTTTGTCGTCGCGATGCTTGATTTTATTTTTTTAAGTTTATAATACAAAGTGGATGAATTCCAAATATATTGACATAATGGTAATACTAAAACCGATATTGTCAGAATGACTGAAATTTTATTGGCAACGCCTCTCAGTAATTCTTGATTTGTAACATCCTAAAGCCTTTACACAAGACTCAGTGGTTACCTACACCTTTACAGACACGGACGTGAACTATTGACCATCATATGTTTATTAAACAGGCCAGTTTGTCCCCGACTGGTTGATAGTGTTGACTTCTCTCGGTCCAACATAATCATACTGATGTTATGGATGTGTCCCTGTACGCGCTAGTGACTGTATTGAGTGAGAAGAAACATTTTCTCACCACCCGGGTGTTTACAGAATCCCGGGGTTACACCAGCTGTCGTACAATGTACTCTGTATGGGAAAATTTGATAATTTCGTGAAATGGGCAATATTTTACCTAATTCACATAACAGCCATTTCCCTCGATAATGCTTAACATACTCATTACATTGCTGGCAGACTATGTTTCCTCGAGGACCATTTTGGCAGAGATGGAGAGAGAGGTGGAAGAAGAATGTGTTTGTGGAAATTCTCCATAATTTCATCCTGATGCTTAGGTCAGTTATACGTAAAGTGTCTAATTCATCACTATTATACAACCGTCTGCTGCGACCCCCATTTGTTACCGTCAAAACAGGTGACATTGGATTACCAGCTGATTACATGAGCGTCCCGGGATGATAGATCATCATTTAATGGTCTGGCACGCGATGCTGATGTCGGTGTATACCACATCAGGACATTAGTATGACCCTTTACCAGGGGCGCCCTCTATATCCGGTTGCGAGATAAAGTGGCCTGATAAATTTACACCGCGTCGAAGTTTTCAGTTGGACTTTTTGTTTGGTCGAATGTGCCTTATTCTTTGTATACAACTATTTCTTTTTGACTGGAGTTTCGTTTGAACCTAAAGCACCAAGAACTGTTATGTCCATTATTATAGTGTTCTTCATGTCTACATTCTATGAACTGCGACCGCCATGTTGGTACTGCAGACGTTAAATATAAGTACAAAGTATTATAAAATGTCCCTGTGGTGTAAAATGTGAAACATCTACATACACAGTTAGTGATCACAGCCACAAAAGGAATATCAATTCCACAAGTACACCCGTATTTGTTTGCAATATTTCAGGACCGAAACTGTTAAATAAGGCTTGATTGCAAATCCACATGTACTGACCAGAAACCCCAATCTTGCTGAAGACAAGGTTAAGAACTACAAATATATGTATATCATTCATTAAAGAGATAAAACCAACACGGTAGTTTTCAGGCCAAGCGGAAAATTCAGGGGATATTTTTATTGGTAACGTTATTATAACGCAATCGATAGTAACAGCAGTATATATTGATGACGTCATATTGTGTTACCATGTAGGAACCATGAAGGCCTACTGAGGTAGCAAAACTAATTGGAATCAGAAGTGTTTCCAATTTTATCAGTTTCTATATATGTACCGGACACTACGAATTTAACTTATATATTACTTAATGCGTACATATGCCATTGTTTACTACCACGTATAGATCGTATCGTCCTTCATTACGACTGTGATTGTGTTTCCTTATTACAATTTGAATCTTTACGACTGAACAGATACGGCTAAGATATCGTGATGGTTATCGCACTTTCAAATCTCCCCGTAATTTTTCCGCTTTTCAGTCGATCTTTACAGCACGAAGGAAGGAAACGCTCTCAACACGAGGTCGAAGGTGACATGATTGACACGATAAGACATCCTGACCTTCCATGACCTACGTTTTCTATATTTGTCCCTAATCATGAAAGTGACAAGACATGTTTTTCCATTTCTTTACTATGAATAACATCCCAGACCGTATCTAAGCCGATTGTATTGAATTAAGGAATCAGAAATCGAGCCGGGTGATCGGATCTAATATTGACCTAAAAACCTCAGGATCGAGGTCAAATTCTAACCCACATTTCCCAATGAGAGGTTTGATCTGACTGGTTAGTTTATAACAATAACAGCTGGAACCTGATTGGTTATTCAATATTGCTGAGATGGATTCAAATGTAGTATCCTAATAAATGATCTTTCGTCACTGAAGTACATCAAGTTGATAGCAACATAGTTAATGAAGTAGTTTAATTCGGACAGGTTTTTATCCAAACTATCATGTCTTGATAGGATCTATTTATAATAGAAAGTACATAGATCTGTGTAGGTTATATAGGTACATTTGTGTGGATGTTTGTCGAATTCACGGTGTCATGATGCGATAATGTCTGCCATGGCTGACTTTTTAAACGATAGTTAACAGTAAGTGATGGACCCAGCTACAAGAGGTTTATGTCCTGTTTAACACACACTGGGACATGATAATCCTTATATAAAAAAAACTGTATGAAGGATGAAATCACTGTACCTACTACATATCAAAACGTACTCCACCATACATTCTGCTTTATAATTCTTACACTTACTAATATCATCATTCTTTGCAACAATATAAAATTCATTTTTTTCCCCTCAATTTCCTTCGTAGAGTATTAGTTTTTTTAAAATGGTAAATATATATAGTTAGCAGAAAATTAATTTTCGTATATTTGGGAGAAATCTTCAAGCAGTCCGTTTGTGTTTATTACGTAATAACGGCGAGGGTCTACAGTCGAGCAAATTGGCTGAGAGCAAATAACCGCTAATTAAATAGCTTGATTTTCACTGGTAACAATGCGACTTGAGGAGAAAGAATGTGGGTGTTTGCAGACTTGATAAAAGCTGATGCAGAAAGCTTCAGAGTGTCTGGAATCATCAGTGATGTATCACAGGCAGACGTTTTAACACGTCCTTTTCCTTGTCCGAGACGCATTATGGTAATAACCACTCGTGTCGCGTGACGCACTACCACGTCATATTTCTACGGAAGTAATGACAGCTCTCTTAGCACAGCGCCGCCTCGCGGTGACAGGACGAGTAATTGCCCTTACCGTTGTTATTATACACTAGGAGGCGCTAAGTGTTTACTATACTTGCCCTACTCATCCGTTATGTGATGATTGCGTTGGAAATTGTTTTACAACACATTGTTAAAGGTTTTTAAAATCCATTTGTTTTTTTATATCCTGTTTTGTCTTATCGATTCGACATAACGTACCGTCAGACAGACATGCAATGTGTCAAATGATTGTTTTTTATGTCTTTTTTTACCATCTACACGATTTCCTCATCAAACAGAAGACTTTATCGACACGTATATCGACAAAAGCATTACTGTCTGTTTTTCATCATATAGCTCACAAAGTAATATTTGTTACAACCGCATTAAAAGTCTTGCGTTAATAAATCGTCATTATTGTTAATTCTGTCGACTAATGAAGTGGCACTGTATTGAGGTCTGTTGACTAACGAAGTGGCACTGTATTGAGGTCTGTTGACTAACGAAGTGGCACTGTATTTAGGTCTGTCGACTAACGAAGTGGCACTGTATTTAGGTCTGTTGACTAACGAAGTGGCACTGTAATGAAGTCTGTTGACTAACGAAGTGGCACTGTATTGAGGGCTGTTGACTAACGAAGTGGCACTGTATTGAGGTCTGTCGACTAACGAAGTGGCACTGTAATGAGGTCTGTTGACTAACGAAGTGGCACTGTATTGAGGTCTGTCGAATAACGAAGTGGCACAGTATTGAGGTCTGTTGACTAACGAAGTGGCACTGTATTTAGGTCTGTCGACTAACGAAGTGGCACTGTAATGAGGTCTGTTGACTAACGAAGTGGCATTGTATTGAGGTCTGTCGACTAACGAAGTGGCACTGTATTGAGGTCTTTCGACTAACGATGTGACATTGTGTTGAGTCCACACAATTGGTATGAGTCCAAATTAATGATTTGATAGTGTATTGAGTCCGCACTAACGATCTTGCACTATACCGTTTTGAGTCGATGTGACGCAGACGTGAGTCCGCACAAGCGATGTGACACAGACGTGAGTCCG